GGGGCATCTTGGACCGTCTTCGACGCCGTAAACGGGCGAAAAGTCGTATATGCTGAAAATATACGTTTTCCTATTGAAAATCTATGATTTTGGCCTCGTGGGGCCCTCTTGGGAAGTTTTTGGCCGCCTCTTGAGGCGTCTTGGAGGCCTCTTGGGCTGTCTTGGGGACGTCTTGGGCGTCTGGGAAAAATATTTGGGTGTTTCGGGGCCGTCCTGGACTGTTTCCGGTTTTCTCCGGGAGCCTTTTTGGGGCCCTCAGGGACGGGCCAGAGAAGAGCCTCCGGGGGGTTGGGGGCCGCCAGATTCTATTGGGGGGGGGGGGTGTTGGCCATCCCTGGTGTGAGATAATCCAAATAAGAATATATATATATATATACACACAAACATATATACATATATATATATATATATATATGCATACATACATACATACATACATACATACATACATACATACACATACATAGATAGATACATACATACACCTATACCTATACCTATACCTATACCTATACCCATACCTATACTAGTGTGGACCCGTGGATTAAATCCACGAAGTTGGGCGGATCGAAGCATGGTGGCGCGCGCTGGGTGGTGCGACGCTGCCAGCTACTGCCGTAGATCCCGTGAAGCTTGTTCCAGTGCTGTTCCCCCGACGAAGGCGCCCAATGCATCTATCTACACTGGGGCCGAAGTGTTCGAGCTTCGCAAGAGACAGAAATTCAGGAGTCCAAGCCTAAGCAACGTTGGAAGATTCGCGCCGGGATCGCGGCGGACGCGGGAGTGGGCTCGGGCAAACGCGGCGCCGTTTCGGGCCGCGTCGGAGGCGTCGGAACGGCGTCGCGGCAAAGTAGGGAGCTCAGCGGGGCAGCCCCGGAGGCACCGGAGCGTCAAAACATATTTTTTGCGCCTGCGAGGGGCCTCTCGCCTCTCGTCCGCCCCCCTCTGTTGGAAGCAATTTTGAAGCTTCTTGGGAGCCGCTTGGGAGCTCCATGGAGGCTGTTTTGGGCTCCTCGGGGGCTTCTCGGAGCCCTCTTGGGCCGGCAGGGCGCCTCGTGGGCCGTCTTGGGGCCGTCTTGGGCGCCTATCGGGCCGTCTTGGGGCCATCGTGGGCTGTCCTGAGCCCCTCTTGGGCCTCTCGTGGGGTCCTCTTGGGTCGTCTTGGGCGCCTCTTGGGCCGTCCTGGGCCCGTTTGGAGCCATCTTTGGGCCCTCTTGGGGGCCGTCTTGAGCGATCTTGGAAGCCTCTGGGGCCGTTGGGGACGTTTCGAAAAGCAATCAGCCGAATCTGCTGAAAATGTAACCGAAGGAATGTAACGAATTTAGCTTGAAGGAACCCTTTCGGGGGACCCCTTGGACCCCCCTGGAACCGTCCGGGGGCGTCTTTGGGGCTCATGTGGCCGTCTGGAGAGCAGCTTGGGCCGCCTGAGGTCGTCTCGGGGCCTCCATAGGCCGTCTCGGGGCTGTCCTGGCCCCTCTTGGGCTTCTCGTGGGGACCTCTTGGGTCGTCTTGGGCGCCTCTTGGGCCGTCCTGGGCCCGCCTGGAGCCATCTTTGGGCCCTCTTGGGGGCCGTCTTGGGCGATCTTGGAGGCCTCTGGGGATGTTTTGGACGCTTCGAAGATCAATAAGCCGAATCTGCTGAAAATTACAACTTTCCGCAGGGACTGTGACGATTTTTGCTTGATGGAACCCTTTCGGGGGACCCCTTGGACCCGCCTGGAGCCGTCCGGGAGCGTCTTTGGGGCTCATGGGGCCGTCTGGAGAACACCTTGGACCGCCTGAGAGCCGTCTTGGGTCGTCTCGGGGCCTCCATGGGCCGTCTCGGGGCTCTTCTGGGGAGCTCCTGTGCCGTTTCGGGCCCTTCTGGGGGCCCTCCGGAGCCGTTTCGGGGTTCTCTGAGGGCTCCGGGAGCCGGGGGCTCCCGCAAACCCACCAAGCGTCTTTCGGATTGATTTGAATGGATCTATATATATATATATATATACAGATATATAGATAGATAGATAGATAGATAGATAGATAGATAGATAGATAGATAGATAGAGATAGATATATAGATAGATATATTATCCTCTTTCTATATGTTTACAAGCCCGGGCGGGGGAAAACCCGTCCCCCCCCCCAAAAAAAAAATCAGACTCCCAGGATCTGGAGCTTAGGGACCCTCCGGGCGGGCCTCGAAGCGGCCTCCCGGGCCTCGCAGGACGTGGCACGCTCCCGAAACCACCACAAAGGGCCCCAATATTGTCGACGACGACCCCCAAGAAGCCGTCATACCTCCAAAGATCGTCCCGACACGTCCCAAGATTCAAGAGGCCTCCAAGAGCCGCCGTCTTGGAGCGTCGGCTTCCCGACGCTCCAAGACGGCTGTCTTCTGGGCGTCCGAAGCCGCATGGGAGGCTCCAAAATCGAACCCAAACCATCCGAAAGGGCTTCCAGGTAATCCAAGAGAGCCCCAAAACGGCACAACAGGGGTCCAAGATGGCCCTCAGAGAGCCCCATGGCGGCCCAAGATGGCCCCAAGAAGCATTCCAAATCGTGACCCGGTCGTTCAGGGAGACCGCGGTTGGAGGCAGGGTGGCCCGAGGAAGCCCCCAAAGGCTCCCAGAACACGCCCAGGAGGCCTCCAGAGGGCCTTAAGAAAGCCTGGAACAACTTTTGTGAGGCCCCCAAAGGCTCTCCAAGGAGGAGCCTCCGCAAAAAGAGCTGAGGAGTATAGGGGAGAATGCGCAGGGCATGGCGCAAATGAGGAAAAATAAGCATGGAGGAAGGATAACGAATTACGCTACCGAGGAACTCCACATACTTATATTATGGCTGGAGTGATGATAGCTGATGTGAAGCATGTGAGAACGATGTTGGTGGTCGTTGCCACCCCCTGCGCATCCCCTATGGTGTCGAGAAAACGCCACGCCTGCTGTGCACTGGACGACCGTCGTGCATAGCGGCCGCGGTGAAAGACCACCCCCTGCCCACCACCAATGGTGTCGAGAAAATGCCACGCCTGCTATGCCCTGGACGACCATCGTGCATAGCGGCCGCGGTGAAGAACCACCCACTGCGCACCCCCTATGATGTCGAGAACATGTCACGCCTGCTATGCCCTGGGCGACCGTCGTGCATAGCGGCCGCGCTCAGGGACTACCCCCTGCGCACCCCCTATGGTGTCGAGAAAATGCCACGCCTGCTGTGCACTGGACGACCGTCGTGCATAGCGGCCGCGGTGAAAGACCACCCCCTGCCCACCACCAATGGTGTCGAGAAAATGCCACGCCTGCTATGCCCTGGACGACCATCGTGCATAGCGGCCGCGGTGAAAGACCACCCCCTGCCCACCACCAATGGTGTCGAGAAAATGCCACGCCTGCTATGCCCTGGACGACCATCGTGCATAGCGGCCGCGGTGAAGAACCACCCACTGCGCACCCCCTATGATGTCGAGAACATGTCACGCCTGCTATGCCCTGGGCGACCGTCGTGCATAGCGGCCGCGCTCAGGGACCACCCCCTGCGCACCCCCTATGGTGTCGAGAAAATGCCACGCCTGCTATGCCCTGGACCACCGTCTCGGATAGCGGCCGCGCTCAGGGACCACCACCTGCGCACCCCCTATGCTGTCGAGAAAGTGCTGTGCTGTGCCGAGCTGAGCTGAGCTGTGCTGTGCTGAGCTGAGCTGTGCTGTGCTGAGCTATGCTGAGCTGTGCTGAGTTGTGCCGTGCTGTGCTGTGCTATGCTGTGCTGCCAGCTCTGGTGTGCTGAGCTGTGCTGTGCTGTGCTTTGCCGAGCTGAGCTGTGCGGTGCTGAGCTGAGCTGAGCTGGGCTGTGCTGTGCTGTGCTGAGCTGAGCTGTGCTGTGTTGTGCTGAGCAGTGCTGTGCTGTGCTGTGCTTTGCTGTGAGGGCCGCGGGTGCGAAGAAGCAGAGAAGAAAACCATAACCCCACTAATCATGTGGGGAATAACATTATTATAGCGGCGATGCCGGAAAATGAGTTATCACTAAATTAACGGCTTGACCTTCCTGCTAGTCCGCCTGCATACCAAACCTCAAGGACCAAGGTGCACGGCGCGAAGCGCCACTGCAGTCTTGTATATATATGTATATATATGTATATATGTACCCACTGCGCCTCGGGCTTCTGGGGAAGGGAGCCCCAGACTCAAAGACGCAGTGGGTATGGATGCACAGCTTGCCCGCAGCATTGGCGCGGAGTTGAAATCATATGCAATCGGCGGCACCAGGATGCATGACAGCGCCGCGCAAGCACCGGGCTGCACTGGATCGGGGGGCCGGATCTCGCGCCGGAAGCTCCTTCGCGAACACGCGGTACGCTGTCCAAAAGGGTCCTGACACGCCCAAAACCTGGCTCCAAGACGCCCACGAGGGTCCCAAACGGCCCCAGACGCCCCGAAAGCAGTCGACGAGAATCCCACACCTATTCCCAAGAGGCTTCCAGAGGCCAACTCCGGTTAGCCGGAAAACTCTGGGATCTTCTGACCTGGGTCAATCCAGACCCGGGTCAGTCGAGCCTTTAAGTATCCTGCAAGATCCTGCACTCAAACCCGGGTCAATGCGACGGGTCCTACAAGGTCCTGCAGGAGCCTGCACCCAAACCTGGGTCAGTGCGACCCATGGCCCTGCAGGGTACTGCAAGCTCGGGCGCTCTGGCTGACCCCCGTCTGCATTAACCCCCGTCTCAAGGCTCCCGAAGAGGCTTCCCAGACATGCGACGTCCTGATTGTTTCAGGACGGCGTTCCCGGAAGTCCCGACACTTTCCCTTTCGTTCTGAATCATTTTTTGACGGCCCCGAGGCCCGGCGAGGGCCCCCGGGGCCGAAAATAGCGAAAAACCTCCCGCCCTGATTTTTGTTACGACGCGATCATGTCTGGGTTCCAATGGCAACTCCGGATACCCGAAAGATCGAGTCGCACCTCGCGCCGCCCAGAGCGGCATCGGAGCGGACTGGCAGCAGAGCCCCAAGCGGTCGCCACCCCCCATGGGCCTGCGAGAGAATGCGGAGGCAGATGCTGATCACCACCTGGCGCGTTGGGCGTGTTGTCCACCACCACCACCATGAGTAGAAGGGGTAGGGGGTCCTCCTCCTCCTCCTCCTCCTCCTCCTCCTCGTCCATTCCTTTCCCTTCTATATAACTTATCCCTGTTGCACCCGAGGGCAGTTTTCAGAACGGGCCAGGCGTGTTGCCTGAGAGTTCCCCACCATTTATGACTCCAAAACTTAAAAACTTTGCAAGGGTTTCGCGGATTCAAAGCGGGCCGCTTTAAAAATGTGGCTCTCGCCCTAGCGCCGCGCGCATTCGTTTCGACACTTTGCAATAGTTTCACGGATTTAAGGCGGGTCGTTGTCAAAATGTGGCTCTCGCCTTAGCGCCACGCACACTCGTTTCAAATATGCGCAAGAGCTTCACGGATTGAGGGCTGTTCCTTCTCAAAGTGTGTATCAGAAATCCTGGAAGGATTCAGGATTATGCGGGTGCAACAATTACGTTGATTCGCGGTGTTGAAATCCCAAGGATGGCGTTCTGGCACGATTCCAGATCGTCAAGACACAGCAATCAGGTTGATCAGTGCCGTGAAAAATCCTGCGAGCAATGTGTTGGCATGCTTCAAGATCTTCAAACGGGTGTCTTCCAACGAAGCAGTTCCCGCAATGGAAATGCACCGTTGTAGGGGCCTATGAAGAGGGAGCTTGGAGGGAGGGTTGATTCCAACATCGCCGATGGTTCTTGGGTTTTACACCGGTCCTCCTCCTCCTCCTCCTCCTCCACCTCCTTCCCCCTTCAACTCCTCCTTCCCTCATCCTCCACCTCCTTCCTCCACCTCCTTCCTCCCCCTTCCTCCACCTCCTTCCTCCTTCCTCCTCCTCATCCTCCTCCTCCTCCTCCTCCTCCTCCTCCTCCACCTCCTTACGGTGGTGGTGGTGGAAAACAAGCCCATCATTGCGCATTGGGGGGGGAGGGGAGGGGGGCGCCTCGCACGACGGAGCACCAGTGCGGCGCCGACGGCACGCCAACCGCCCTCCCCCCCCTGCCCCGTGCCCCGCACCGTGCCGCCGCCGTCCTCGCCGTCGCCCTCGCCGCCGTTGTCGCCGCCGCCGCCGCCGCGGCCGCCGCCGCCGCCGCCCACCCGCCGCCCTCCTCGCCGTCGTTGGGCCCGCACCCGGCGCTCTCGGAGGGAGGAGGGCTCGCCGCGCGAGAGGGGCCCTCGAGCGCACGCCGAAGCGCGCAGGGCACCCCGAGAGTCCTCCCCAGCCCCCGTCCCGCACCACCCCGTCCTCGTCGCCATCGTTGGCGGCGTCGTCGTCGCCTGGGCTTCGAGGCGAGTCCAACCTCCCACTGATCCCACCAGCCCTCTGGGCGGAGGCGGTGTTTCCAGGTGGTTTGCCCTTCAGTCTCCCAATCTCTAACCGAAAGGGCTGCTGAAAGGAAACATGTATCATCCTGGTCCACGTCTGGGCATCATCGCTGGGCGCCAGTTTAAGCGGCCAAGAAAGAGCATCAACTCCCCACGGCCAGGGAATGTCCCCCCTGAGCAACGCTCTTCTCTGCGGCATGCAGGCTTCTGGTCAGGGCTGCAACTGCTGCCGCAAGGCCCCGTGCACTGCGCCGAGCACATCAGGCACACCACCACGGGCCACAGAACTCTTTGCTGCCCGAACAATATGCGGGGTGTGGGGGAAGGGGCGGCTCGCACGACATTACATAGAAATAAAGGAACGAACAATTGCATAGACATAGAAACTCGGCGGTCCGGGCGGATTTCTCGGATCCGCGCGGAGCGCGCCAGGGGCGGCGCCGGAGGCGGGGCCGGGGGCCCTCCAGCGCGGATCCGAGGAATCCGCGCGGACCTCAGAATTATTTGTCATGTTTATGACATGGCTCGTTTCCCCCAAAAGAGGCTGAAATTAAGGGGACAGGGCCGCACAATAACCTTCCGGGTTCTGAGTGTCCAAACGCGGGCACCACCAAAACACCGCCACGCGAACGCGTTCCGGCGGGCCCCGTGGGCCTTCCGGCCCGTGGGCAAAGCCAGGGGCCGGCGCACCCGCAGTGCCCGATCGAGCTTGCAAAGCAGCCCCTTGCTCTGGGACAGCTGTCAATAGGGGAACGAAGAATTACATAAACATGAAAACTCGGAGGTCCACGCGGATTTCTCGGATCCGCGGTGGACCCCCCTCCCTGGCGCGCGGAGCGCGCCAGGGGCGGCGCTGGAGGCGGGGCCAGGGGGGTCCAGCGCGGATCCGACAAATCCGCGCGCACCTCCGAGTTTTCATTACCTAACAGCGAAAACTGTAAGTTTCTAGTGGGGTCAAAAGAGAGCAGCAGATGACTCCACAGGGGGGTCCAGGCGGCATCCGGGGAGCTGGGTCCGAACTCGTTTTTCGCAAACAGTCACACACTTCGTGCTTTTCGACCTCCCAGAACTCCATTCCCGGGCCACATTCTGAATGCCCGGAGCCAACTGTAGGCCACTTCGTGCTCTTCGACTTCCCAGAACTCCATTCCCGGGCCACATTTTGAATGCCGGAGCCAACTGTAGGCCACTTCGTGCTCTTCGACTTCCCAGAACTCCATTCCCGGGCCACATTTTGGATGCCCGGAGCCAACTGTAGGCCACTTCGTGCTCTTCGACCTCCCAGAACTCCATTCCTGGGCCACATTCTGAATGCCCGGAGCCAACTGTAGGCCACTTCGTGCTCTTAGCCTTCCCAAAACTCCATTCCCGGGCCACATTTTGAATGCCCGGAGCCAACTGCCACTTCGTGCTCTTCGACCTCCAGAACTCCATTCCCGGGCCACATTTTGAATGCCCGAAGCCACCTGTACGCCACTTCGTGCTCTTCGACTTCCCAGAACGCCATTCCTGGGCTACATTTTGAATGCCCGGAGCCAACTGTTGGCCACTTCGTGCTCTTCGTATTCCCAGAATTCCATCCCCGGAAAACATTTTGAATGCCCGGAGCCAACTGTAGGTCACCTCGTGTACTTCGCGTGCAAAAGCAAAAACAAACGCACAGTCAAAGCACAGTCAAGGCTTGAGGCAGGCTGAGGCTGAGGCACGGACTCGCGACCAGGAGAACGAGGAGGACGAGCAAGAGGAGGAGGCAATGTTTCCAGCTATGCTTCTACACATCGCTATAATGTTTATGTTTTTCTTCGTTCCCCTAGTCAAGCAAATTCCCCGTACCTACTGCCAGGGGATACCGTCTACGTGCTTGACATTGTTCTGGGTCATTTCTGGGTTCACTTTGGCTCCGCCGTCAGCATGCTAATCAGCTCTGCCGCTACTTTTGTTGTGAGTCTGGTTGCGCCGGCATCCTCATCTCCGACGCATGCTCTCTTTCACCTAGTCCAACAGATACTCTGGATAGTCGCGCGCGAAGAGCACTTTCCAAACCTCGCTGAACAAAGAACTCCCGCTCGTTGAAGCCTGCCTCTCCCGTGGGCCTGCAAACAAAGGCGTTGCAGTCGATGCGCAGTCGGAAACAGCCCCCCTGGCTCCAAACGCCCCAAGTCCTGTAGCAGAGCGCCTTGCTCGGCGAGCACTGCACTCTGGGGCAAGAAACAAGGGAGGCTGCCACAGACAGCTCTCACGCAGTTTCCAGAATCATCGATATGAATAATCGCCCAGCCCGCACGAGCCACAAGAACGTGGGTGGGGGCGTGGTCGATCCTGCAATCCCAAAAAATGTTTGAATATCTTCCCCGACCTGTCAGTGGATTTCAACAACTCCGACCCAAGTAGCGCCGATAATGCCTGGGCTAGCATCCAAAGCTTGGTAATTAGTAAGAAGCCCTCGTCCAGGGTGAGCAAATCGATCGAGCCTCCTTGTCGTCGTCATCCTCCTCCTCCACCTCCCCTTCCTGCTCCTCCTCCTCCTCCTCCTCCTCCTCCTCCTCCCCGTGCCGAAGGTTCCCGCAGCTTGTGGGGTTCGTGCTTGTGAGGGACGCACGGGGCGCTGGTAAGATAGTGCTATTATTGCACTTTCGATGAGCACCCTCACGAGCACCCCGCAGGTTAGGGAACCGGGGCGACACCAGCAATCCATCTTTCTGGCTGTCGGTGGGTGTGCCTTCCACCTGGTCTGCCCGCGGGCAGCGAGTTGCATTCCCATTCGTTTATGGCTGTCGGTGGGGTGCCATCCACCTTGTCAAAGGCCCCTTAAAGGGGGCGGAGGGGGATGTGGGACCCAGGCCCCGCCGCGTCGTTGTCCATGGCTGTCGGTGGGTGGGCCTTCCACCGTTCTGGACCCGGGAGGGACTCCACGCGTGGGGCGCCCGGGGCGGTGCTCGGGGAGGTGCCCAAGGGTGCACCCACTGTGGTGCCCAAGGTGGTGCACAGGCCCATTGGGGGGGGACCCTAGGTGGCGCTCCCTGGCGCGCGGAGCGCGCCAGGGGCGGCGCTGGAGGCGCCGCCAGGGGGCCCCAGCGCCGATCCGACAAGTCCGCGCGGACATCCGAGCTGTTACGAATTGATGCCATTGTTCGCTCCCCTCTTCGAGGCTCGACATTCACATGTCTCTACCTCAAGCGGCAACAACAAAGGCAACCTTCCAAAAGGTCTCGTCCAAGGGGAACGAACAAAAATATAAACATACAAACTCGGAGGTACGCGCGGATTTCCTGGATCAGTGCTGGACCCCCCTCCCTGGCGCGCGGAGCGCGCCAGGGGGCCGATCCGATAAATCCGCGCGGACCCCCGAGGTTTACGAATTGACGCCATTGTTCGCTCCCCTCTTCGAGGCTCGACAGCAACACTTCTCTACCTCAAGCGGCAACAACAAAGGCAACCTCCCGGAAGGTCTCGTCCAAGGTGAAGAGGCCGATCGGGCTCATCCGGACGGACTCCTCAGACTGCGGGGACGGCGTCGCGGGGCCCTGGTGCGCGCTCGCCTGGGGGCGGGGCGCCGCGAACACCGGGAGGAACGAGGAGGAGGGCTGAGGAACGAGGAGGAGGAGCAGGAGGAGGAGGAGCAGGAGGGAAAGGAGGAGGAGGAGGAGGAGGGGGAGAAGCAGGAGGAGGAGGAGGAGGAGGAGGAGGAGGAGGAGGAGGAGGAGGAGGGGGAAGAGGAGGGGGAAGAGGAGGAGGAGGAGGACGACGACGAGCAGGAGGAGGAGGAGGAGGACGACGAGCAGGAGGAGGAACGAGGATGAGGGGGAGGCGTCGACCTGGAATCGGCGACACACACACACACACGCACGCACGCACGCACGCACGCACGCACGCACGCACGCACGCACGCACGCACGCACGCACGCACGCACGCACGCACCCACACACACACACACACACACACACACACACACACACGCACACACACTCACAAACACACACACACACGCACACACACACACACATCAACGATTCCTAAGCGATGGGGATGGGCGATGGGGGGCACACAAACTGCAGTGTTTAGGTCGGGCATGTCCCCCTACAGACGGATGTACGAAATATAAACATAATAGCAACAAAAAAACACAGTCAAACATCGTAGAACATCGTCCCCATATCATCTTAAATGACTCACAATGCAGAGGGTGTTGCTGCTTTCGGCCCCTGGGCCCCCGCCAGGCCAAGGGACTGCACAAAAGAAGATCGTGGGCGAAAAATTTGCCACCCGGAAATGGCCCAAACCCCATCTTGTACAAACTGCAAAATATATTTCCTGGACGAACAACTGACCACCCGGAAGTGGCCCCAAACACTGTCCTGGACGAGAAAATGGTCACCGAGAAGTCGCCCGGAGCTCTGCGGGGACCCCGAGTTTATGTCGGGCATGTCCCCCTACAGGCAGATTTTGGGCGAAACAAATAAGAATAGTCAAAACAGCATCCCAAACATGACTAAAATAATAAGAAAAATCGTCCCCCGACTATTTTTTGACTAATTCTGAACATTCCTCCTGTAGAGGGACAGGCCCGACCTAGAATTAAGTGGACAAATCAAGACGCCGGGAATCTGTGAAGATGGAGGGGGCGCGGAGGAGGGGGGGGAGAAAGAGGATCGGGAAGAGGCAGGAGGAGGAGGAGGAGGAGGAGGAGGAGGAAAAGCAGGGAAACGTCGATGAGCACGGCGTGGAGGGGGTGGGCAACAGGAGGGGGGCGCGGGCGGGGAGCAGGACGGATCCGAAGTCTGGGAGCGTCTGCCCCGCGGGGCCGCTGGCCGAACATAACAGAGCGGGCCGCGACGGGGGAAATGCGAGAACACGCGCGGCTCCCATGAATGGCTCAGAATGAAGGGGCCCAAGGACACACAAATAAATACTCCAGATTACGTGATAAAAAGAAGGGGGTCACAACCCTCCCAGACGAGAAGTTTTAGACCCCCCCAGACCATCCATGAAAGGGCGGCCCTTTGCCCAGACCCCCTCCGAACCCTCCGAAGCAGCTCGAATCAGACCCCCCCCCCCGAATATGACCCCCCCCCCCACTTTGTTATGGAATCCGGAGTACACACAAATAGAAATATGTTCAATAATTTCCCATATGTTCTGGGTTTCTGCCTTCCCGCCCACTTCCCATTGTTTCCCATATTTTCTGAGAAATACAGGATTCATTGTGTGTGCATTGTTTCTCCACCTGATAGAAGAAGGAAACCCTGCATATACATAAAACTTTGGCGCTCCGCGCGGGTTCCGTGGATCTGCGCTGGCCCCCCCTCCGTGGCGCGCGGAGCGCGCCAGGGGCGGCGCCAGAGGCGCCGCCAAGGGGGGCCCCAGCGCGGATCCAAGAAATCCGCGCGGAGCACTTCTACTTTATAAGTATGCCGTCTTTTCTTCTTCGACGCAAAGCCCCCACGCTGTGCTACAAAACCCGCGCATGCAAATAGAGGCCTCCCGAATGGGGCCGGAATATATGGGATCGGACGACCGCGCCGCGTCGCCAATGCATCGCCGATGCGTCGCCGATGCATCGGCAACGTCGGCGACGCACCAGCGCCGTCGGCGCGGGAGAAAATTGGGCTCCGCATCGGGCCGCATCGGCGATGCATCGCCGATGCGGCGCCAGCCTCCGACCACATCTACAGTGGAGGCCAGCCCGCAAGAAACCTTCTACAAGAAGCCCAACCCTGAGACCCCAGGGCGCCACTTGGTTTTTGGCGTGGGAACGTCGCGCTCTTCACCGCAAGAGCATCGAGAGAGAAAGAGAGAGAGAGAGAGGAAAACAGAGAGAGAGAAAGAGAGAGAGAGAACGAGCCGTGCACGTCCGGGGGGCGTTGGCACTGGAAACACTCGGGCTCATACAGGTGCTTGAAGGAGAGGCGCCTGGCAGCTCTGCGCCGCGCGTGCGCGGGAGCCTGCCACAGGTCTCGCAGGAAGTGCTTGTCCACCTGCTGCCTGGCAATCGAGGTCGTAGATGCACTGGCCCCAAGTGCTTCTAGGCCGGCTGCGCTGTCGAGGGCTGCGCGGGCGCGCTAAGTCAAAACCCCCATGCCTGACACCATAGCGCGCCACTGCGCTGCCGTCCGGTTGCCGGGCAACGTCTCCCATTAAGACCAGTTGTTTGTGCGCCAGCAGAGAACTCAGTTTTTTGCAACCGCAGGTACTAAGCACGGACTCATTGGCGACGTGGTTCATGTACGAGTGCGCTATGCTGGTGATTTGTCGCAAGCGCCGTCCCTGGAAGGCGTTCAACTTGTTATTCTCTGCTTCGTTGAGCCGCGCGGTGTCCAAGCAGTACACGAATCAGTATAACGCATTATTCAAATATTCGTATTTCTTCGGCAGCGATATCTTGCTTGCAACGCGTCCAAACCTTGCAGAGCGTCCCGGTTTCATGAGCGCGGTGTGGCACCGAATTGGTAAAACTTCTATCTTGCTCCAGCTGAACGCGAGGCCGTAATGCTTCCCTGCCTCCTGGATGCAAATCATGATCGCGCCCACGAACTCGTCGTTGGTGCCCACCGCGAGCGTGTCGCCCGCGTAGATCAACTCGCTGACCGGAAATTGCTACTCCTGCGTGAGGCGCTGCCGTTTGAGAGCAGCCGTTGCGTCGCGCATCAGGACGGTCATTACGATGGAAAAGAAGCGGCGATAAAAGGCGCCCCTATGAGATACCGTGCTCTTGCGGCCACGACTTGGACTCAGCTCCGGCCTCTCGCACAAGAAGCGACCGATTTGTGTAGATCGACCTCGCGCATTCGGAAACTTGCACAGGTACGCCAAGTCACTGCAGAGCTTGCAACGGACCCTCTGGCGGTACACTGTCAAAGGTTCTTGCCCAGTCCAACGCTAAGAAGATCAGCTGGCCTGAGCGGGAGCCCCACGGAGTTTCGACCATCCATCGGGCGACAAACACAGCGTCTGCCGTGCCGCGGCCGTTGTTCAAACCGCACTGCGTGTCCCAGATTCGATTCTCTGCGACCGCGCCCTTCAAACGAGCAGGCAGGATCATGGCATGCAGCTTGTACCCAATCGATAGCAGAGATATGGGCCTGTGTAGTTGGCACAGTCCGCAACGTCGCCCTTCTTTACAGATCGCGGCGACCAGCGAGCGTTTCGTGCCATGCTGGAACAGACTGCTCATCCATGCACCCGTTGCACAATGCCGTAGCCAACTCCATTGCTGGGGTACCTGACATGCAAATCGTCGTCCAAAACTCCGCTGGGATGTCGTCACCTCCAGACGCCTTCTTCCGCTTGAGCTGGCGGGCTGCCTCGCGCACCTCCTCTGGACTGATTCGGCCGCAATCGACGGGTAACGTGGGCAATCAAAACCCAAGAAACCCAAGAAACCCAGGGCACCCTGGAAGCACGCAGGGCGCTTGTTGGCATGGGCCTCCACTTGACTCCGACCCCATCTGGAAGGCCTGAGTAGGTGAAAGTAAATCTGCCCGAATCCAAAGAAACGCAGGGCTCTTGTTGTGGGCGGCGGCGGCCACGCCGAGCGAGGGCCAGCGGCGACTCCGAGGGAGGGGGGTGACCAGCAAAAAATCACGGCGAAGGCTCCAGGCTTAGGTCGTGCATGTCCTGCTACAGGCGGATGTTGTAGGAAAGACGAGGAATACTCAGGGAATACCCCTAAATTATCCTGGCAAAGCAACCTAACAGCGATGTGTAGAAGCATATATGAAAGCATTCCCCTTAGATTCAGATGAAAATCCAGTTGTAGAATTCTGCTGTTCTCGCAGTCGTAGTCGCATTATGACAGACAGAAAAACAGTTCAGTCACAGCCTCAGCCTCAGCCTCAGCCTCAGCCTCAGCCTCAGCCTGCCTCAGCCTCAGCCTCAGCCTCAGCCTCAGCCTCAGCCTCAGCCTCACCCTGCTTCAGCCTCAGCCTCAGTCTGCCTTCAGCCTCGGCCTCAGCCTCAGCCTGCCTCAGCCTCAGCCTCAGCCTCAGCCTCAGCCTGCCTCAGCATCAGCCTGCCTCAGCCTCAGCCTCAGCCTGCCTCAGCCTCAGCCTCAGTCTGCTTCAGCCTCAGCCTCAGTCTGCCTTCAGCCTCGGCCTCAGCCTCAGCCTGCCTCAGCCTCAGCCTGCCTCGGCCGCAGCATCAGCCTGCCTCAGCATTCAAAATGTGGCCCAGGAATGGAATTCTGGGAACTAGAAGAACACGAAGTGGCCTACAGTTGGCTCCGGGCATTCAAAATCATGCCCAGGAATGGAGTTCTGGGAACTTGAAGAGCACGAAGTGGCCTACAGTTGGCTCCGGGCATCCAAAATGTGGCCCGGGAATGGAGTTCTGGGAAATCGAAGAGCACGAAGTGGCCTACAGTTGGCTCCGGGCATCCAAAATGTGGCCCGGGAATGGAGTTCTGGGAAGTCGAAGAGCACGACGTGGCCTACAGTTGGCTCCGAGCATCCAAAATGTGGCCCGGGAATGGAGTTCTGGGAGCACCAAGAGCGATTTTGCGAGGATGTCCCAAGCGATTTCGGCTTCGGCGGCAGCTTCGGCGGCAGCCTGTCCGGGTCCCGCCCAGACCCCCCTGAGGAGTCATGATGCTCTCTTTTGAGACCACTAGAAACCTATCAGCAAGAGCTGTTAGGTAAAAAAGTAAAGGATAGAAGGATAATCGTTCCTCAGCTATTTTTTGACTATTTTTTGAGTATTCCTCCTGCAGAACGAGAGATAAGATGTCGTGATTTTTTCAATGCAGGGTCCCCAGCAGTCTCGACCCTTTCCCCGGGACCAGCTCTTCATCCTGAGTCGTTTCTTGACGGTCCTGGGGCCTGGCGAGGGCCCCCAGAAGCTGAACACTTAGAAAAAAAACGTTGTCTTGTTTTTTCAATACAGGGCAGTTAGTTCTTAATCCATGGGATGTTTTAAAGTACGAGATAGTTTTAAACAGTACTACTTTATGAATATATTAATGCATGAGCTCATCGTTCGTTTCAATACTGCATGCTTAATACATCCCTGCACGTTTAATACTGCATGCTTAATACTGCATGAACTCGTAGGATCTTTGAACATCCATGGCATGTTTAATATATTATGTTTGTATATATATATATATATATATATATATAAATTCAAACATAATCCAAAACGGTCAAGAGAACTCAGAAGCTGTCAGAGACTGGCGGAACATAATCAAACATACTCAAGAACTGCCACTGCAGGCGGATTTTAGACGACAAACAAAATAAAAGCAGCAAAAATACAAACAAAAATATAGTCGAGCATGCTAGAAACATCGTCCCCCGAATGTTTTTGTTTTCCCACTCTCGAGTCTTCTCCTCCTGTAGAGGGACGTGCCTGACTCAACCCCAAGACGAAGCCACGACGAGGATCCATCCGAGTGAGGACGCATCGAGAATCTGGACGATCCGGCGGCTTCCTGAAGGTCGTCTCGGGCGCCGGGACCTTCCCCCAGAGCCTCCCGGAACGCTCCTGGAGCGTTCCGGAACGCTGCGGCACAGACTCGTCCTCGGGCCGGCCCCGTCCGACCCCCCTTCCCTCCAGGTGGGGATTGATCCACATCCACCGCCTGGGGGCCGCCGTCGTGGTGCCCCAATGGATATATACATACATATATATATATATACATATATATATATATATATATATGGACGCCCCCCCCCCAGCACCCCCAAAAACCACCAAAACCACACAACAATCATTAATCGTTTGCTCCTCCTCCTCCTCCTCCTCCTCTTCCTCCTCCTCTTCCTCCTCCTGCTCCTCCACAAAGCTTGCTCGGGAGAGTCGCCGTAAGAGAATGGACCACGAAACAATGGCAGGCACAAGTTTTGTTGTTTTTTGTTGTCAGAGATACCACGAAACCATGGCAGGCACAGGCACTGTGTGTGTGTTTGTGTTTGACCGTGTTGGCCCCTGGGGGCCCGCGTGTATCCATACCCGCCGCCTGCCGAGGTCCCCGAGGGCTGCTCCTCTCCGGGCGGCGGCCGCGCACGCCTCCCCGCCTCGGCCCACCCCCACCCCTTGCCGTCGCTCGGGCGTCCATTTCCCGTGCACTTTTCGGTTCCGTGCGTGTTTTTTTGTTTGCTCGGTGGTCCAGGATGGTCCTCGATGCCGACGTCCGAGCGATGCCGACGATGCCAAGCCAAGCGTCCGAGAGATAACAACGATGCCAAGCCAAGCGATGCCAACGATGCCGACGATGCCGAGAGAAAAAATGCAGACGTCCGAGCGATGCCAAGCCCCCCGCGCCGCCTCGGGGCGGTCGGTGTCGTGGGTGGTGAGGCCTCGGCGCGCGCTCCCAGCGAGCCGCGGCGGCTCGCTCCCGGGTGCCGCCGACCGCGGCACCGCCACCGCCGCCGCCCGCAGCGTCGTCGCCGCCGTCGGCCACGCCGCCGCCATCGACACGCCGCCGTCGTCGGCGCGCCGCCGTCGCGCGGTCTGGCCGACGTCGTCCACGCCGCCGGCTCGTCCTCGTCGACGTCGTCGGGGGGGGCGCGCAGGAGGAGCAGGAGGAGCAGTGAGGAGGAGCAGGAAAGCAGCAGCAGGGCTAGCAGTGGGGGAGGAGGAGGAGAGGAGGGGCAGGAGAGCGGGAGCAGGAGGAGCAGGGGGGGGGGAGGAGGAGCAGGAAAAGTGACAGCAGCAGGGGCGGGAGGAGTACCATCGGGCCTAGGACAGAAGAACATCCTTCAAGAAGATGAGACCCTCCGCCGCCCAAACTGAAAAACATTCGCGGGTACCCCCCCAGGATACACAAGAACATCCAACACACACGAAAGACATTAGGGTAATTACCCTTGCCGAACCGACTGCGATCTGACACCTCGGTCCGACCAGAAGAAGGGGGGAGAGGAGGAGGAGCAGGAGAGGCCCGCGCGCAGGTGCAGCGGCGCAGCGTTGCAGCCGTTGGCGTCGGGGTCGGCCCGCGCGGAAGGGGGGGAGGGAAGGGAGGCAGGAAGCCCCCTAGAAGGCTCCAAGACGGCCCAAGAGGGCCCCAAGACGGCCCAAGAAGCCCCCAAGACGGCTCCAGGAGGGGGCCCAGGCGGGGGACCCGAACAGAAATTTCGAGCCATCGGCCCCAAGAGGCGTCCATGAGGCCCCAAGAAGCCCCCAAGAAGCCCCCAAGAAGCCCCCAAGAGGCTCCAATAAACCCGCCAGAGGCCCAAAACGGCCCCCCAAAGGCTTCAAAAGTGCTGCCGGGAGCCCCCCGAGAGACCTACCACGAGCCCCCCAAAGGGTTGGCGGTGCGGCGTAGGCCCAAGAACAGTCACAGTATAGGGGCGTCGGCATGTCGAGATACTTATGCGACACAAATGTTGCGTATGCGCGGGCAGCTGCCCCGAACCACGTTCCATCCTTCTGGCAGCAGGTCGGCGACAGTCACTGCTATGTGTACAATCAGGACAGATAGCCATATCAAAACCTGCTGCCAACTCCATGTAAGCAAAACGTGGCATGCCGTGCTCCGTATAGACAATCAAGTGGACTGGAACTGAGTCAACGACCTGCCGATGTATTCCGCTCGCCCTCCGTTGCTAATCCTCGAAGCATGCCCTCGGCGGGCTCCCCTGCCAAGAGAGAAGCGAGATTATGTATGAACTAGATCAGATTCGTTTGATGCAAACGGTCGGCGCGCCATATTCGCCGTTTTAGCTTCTCCCCGAAACGTGCCACAGGGGCAGGCGTCCCCATGCCGGGTGTGAGGCTGAGGGACGAAGGGCGAGTTTGGCTGTGGTGATGGCCGCGTCGTTGTGCTGGCAGTGCCCTTTTGCATATCCCTGATGTGTGCCCGTTGGGTCCCCATTCCAGGTGTGAAGCTGGTAGTGGTCTTGAATGTATAGTTGCTGCAGCATCCTTGGGCTGCCATGTCGTGGTAGATTGGATGTGTGACTGGTGCTGGTGGATTGGCCGTGTATTGGGGTGCTCCGTCGTAATGCTAGTGCGTCGTAATGGTGCTGGGTTTTTTTTATAAATGATACCCACGCAGGCGATTGCGCCCGCTGTCGCTCGAACGAAACATGAGGAAGACTACGGAGAGATTTCCCGTCCGCCTCTCTCAAGTACTGACAACCAACAACTGCGTGTCGGAGCGGTGGATGTCCTGTTTCGCGCCGCCACCGAATGACAGCATGCGCACGAGGACTGCATGCGCCATTTGCGGTCGCATTCTGCATGCGGGGCGGTCGGCGCCGGCCTCTGGTAGTTGCAGGCGGAACGGCCGCGCGGTCGGCGCGCAAAACCTGAGCGCGTTGGGTGCGTGGGCTTGGTGCGCCACTGCATTTGCCAGTGATGATCTCATCGTCGATGTAATTCGTCCCTTTGAACTGAGATGCGCGACCTCCTCTGCGCCATGCGGCTTCTCCCCGAAACATTCCCTCGATGGTAGCCCATTCCAGGTGCGAGGCGGGTTTGTCGATGCTGTGTGTGCGATATCGTCGATGAGACAGTTTCAAGCCTGATCGCGCCCTTGCGCTTCTCCCTGAGGCATGCCCGACGGGGCCTCCATGCCAGGTGTGAAGCGGGTTCGGCAGGGGATGTGCCCTTGTCTGCGTCGCCTTTTGATATCCCCCCCCCCAATAAACATGCCCCTGAGGGTTCCTGTGCCAGGTGTGGGGCAAGCGATGTAGGTTGGGTGGTCAGGTCGGTGTTTGTTGCGTGGTCGGGCTGGTCACGTGGATTGGTGGGTTTGCTCGAGCCGCGCGGTGAGACGTTGTCGATTGCGGTAGCGCTGCGAATTATCATGTGAATTACCCTGGGCCCCCGGCTTCAGTCCCCAGTGAATTCGGGGTTCCGAGGGGATCATAAACGATTTGCCCGGGCACGTCGCGCGCGCGATTTGCGACGAAGAAGGGAAAAGATTTCGCCGTCGTCGCGCGAAGGTCGCGCGAAGACGACGACGACGACGGCGACCTAGCCCTGCCGCGCGTCCGTGACTTCGGAAGGCATCACAAGGAGGGGATGGGAATGAAGAGAGAAGGGGAGGGAGGGGCAGGGCGGGAGAGATGAGAGGATTTTTTTGTGCCCGGACAAAACACCCGGGCGACATAACCCGAAGGGAAGTGCCCAAAGTGCATGCATGAATTCACACGCAGTCGGACCTCGCAACATGAACGGCGGCACAGACCCAGACGTAACAACTGCGCCGCCGTTGCGAGGTGCCTCGGGATGCCACCCCGAAACACGGCCACCGGCACCACCCCCACTTGGCCGCCGGCCTCAAGCAGCAGGGAAGCCCCGCTGCCGAAGGACTTAAGTTCCCGCGCCCCCACGTCGGGGGACCCTTTCGACTAACCCCATCGGGCCTCTCAAGGGTGGTACGGCGGGCCCGCACCGCCTGTGGCTGGCCAGCCACAGGGCAAGAGTCTCTCCTACAGCCCCCATCGAGCTGTGGTGACGATCCGGCTGCCAACCCGCCTGTTTTCCTGGGGCGCCATGGGGGCACCCAGCGGCACAGGTGCGGGAGAGAGAAGAGAGGCCCCAGGACCAGTCCCCCCCCACAACAAAAAAAACATGATTCGGACCATTGCGTCCTAAATCTATGAAGCGTGTATATATATATATGTATATATATATATATATATGTATATATATGGGTGATAAGGAGGTTGGGGGGGGAGGGGCCCA